CAAATCTTTTTGGAACATCCAAAAAGAAAATTTGGCCAACCTTTTCGGGACGGAAAGAGTATATTCTTAATAGTTAAGAATAAAATAACTGAAAAATATCAATTGAAAATGTTTTAAAATAATGATTTTGATAAAAATAGACGATTGTAATTAATATTTGTTAGACAGCTCTCTTTTTTTTTTGAAACGGTTAGACAACTCTCTTGATAATTATTTGTGCAACTAATATGAAAATATTTAATCATTATGGTAAACGGGTATGGATCAAATAAAAACCATTCTCATCGTGAAAACTGCAAATCTCCACTTTTTCCATAGTGTGATGCACTATTACGTTTTTGTGTTGCACTTTTTCGCATTGACATGAAACTTTGACTTATTTACGAAAATGCCTCTAATTTTTTTATTTAGCATGGTTCGACTGAAGTTCAAAAAGTGCAACAGATCACCCTTAAAGTGCATCACATTCAGATAAAAATGAACGGTTTTCAGTTTTCACGTTAATAAAGGTTTTTATTTGATCCGAAACATATGGTAAACAATACTATTATTAGATACGGATTATATTCGATGCATGTATTTCGTATTTCATTTTTGTTAGAAAAGGATGAATTCAGATTATTACATTTGAGTAGAATAATTAACTAATTAAGGATGGGTAATGGCACATTCAATAAAAAGATGGGAATGAGTTATACATGTGTGTTTGCATGTATATATACAAGCATACATTTCACATTTGTCTCTCCCAAAGGGAACATCCGATAAAATTGGAAAAAATATTTCACATTTGTCTAGACAATACTAATAATATCATCTATTTATGTATTCTCATATCTTTATAAGGACGTATAACTACCTTAGCCATTATTTAATTTTGTTATGATTATGATCTTATATTAGTGATGTAAGAAACATATGATTAGCATATTCTTTTTTTGTTCTTTAATGTATATGCCAAATCTTATTTGTTAACATTTCTTAAACTATAGAGAATTAAAACTAATGAAAATGTAATAGATATTGAGTGATAAGTATTTCGTAGAAGCACTTCTTATATCATTTCCTGTATTTTTATATTTTTGGGGACGGGAATTGATCGGTTAAGTCTCAATTCATTTTTCATTTTCATTTTGCATTTCAAGACTTATAAGTAATATAACCATTTTAAAAAAAGTATAAATCCATGTGAAAGCATTGTAGTGTTCATTTTTTGTCTTCTTCAAATACATTGTCGGGGACTACCTTTCACTCTTAATAATATGACCTTTATTACTATGTACGTAGTATATAATATCTCTTACTCCGTATATTATTTTCATACATTTATACATTGTACTTTATGAAATTTTGATGTTACTGTTAATATAATAATATAATAAATAAATAATTCGACACATTTTATTGAATTTTATTCCGTGCATCGCATGAGTGAGAATCTAGTAAAGTAAAAACTGTGTGGTAGAGATTTGTGCAGAGGAAAGAGAAATAACATGAACCACAAATTGATTGACTAAAAGGGAAAGTGACAAAATTTTTGCGACAATCAAAAAAGGAAAGTTGGTAAAGTTATAAGAGACGGAGGGAGTATTATTTTGGAGGGCATTGGACTGAAGCATACGGAACATATTTTTTTTTTATTTTGGGCTGCCCACAATTGGGTGGAGTAGGGGATTCGGGGAATTATCACAAGTAAACATAAGAGTGAAAGTAATATCACTTTTTTCACTTTTAAAAGTGTTTTCAAAAATAGACTGACTAGAGTTTTCCTTTTACAAATAGATCTTATATAACTCATCGGGACAAATTGAAAAATCAAATCCGTTGGAGACTTTTGTTCCAGCAATCACCGCCTTGGCAGCGGAAGATTTGAAAATGTTATAAAAGACCTGGCTATTTTTTTCTTTTCGTCTCCAATTGCATTCCGACACCGAAGTCGGAGGGGACATGCTGCTCCAGGATCAAAACTGTGATGAAAACCAACTGTGAAGGGTTTTAGAATTGCGCTACAAGGCAGTGACAATTCCCTCTGCTTGCGACATCCCTACTGCAATCGTTAGCCACCAGTGGCGGATCCAGAAATAAAATTTATTGGGGGCATATCAATGAACATAAGTTAATAAAAGTATATACGCTATATTGCATACATGGTTGTAAGTAGACATCTCAAATATAGGACAACCCGCATAAGCGACAAAATGATTGTTAGTATAAATTTTGTGTAAAAAAACTCTACGATATAATAATTGTTCTAAAATTTGCTAGGCGCTAAACAAATGGTTGAAGGATGCCTAGACGGCTGATTAGGTCATTTTTTGGCCGACTAGGCCGATTAGTCCTCTTCAGTTAGGGCTGATTAGGCCGATTAATCAGTTCGACTAGGCCTATTTTTAGAACAATGAATATGATTGATTAATGTGTTTGCCACACTCAATAAAATGAAGATATTAGAACTTTAGCTACATCGCTGACTCATACTCTAATTTATCTAATTTGAGGCCGATTATGTGATAAATACAAATTATGTGCGCACACATCACACACACACACATACTCCCTTCGTCAAAATAAATTCTTCTCACTTACCATTCACATTTCCCTTTATGGAAAGGTTTGTATGGTTGACAATAACATATCAATTCATTTACTTTTTTCTTACTCAATAACAACCATACATTTTGCACTTTATTCACATATTCTTAATCAGCGTGCCAAATCAAACACTCTTAATATTACAAAGTATATTTCGAGTACACTTGATTAAATTATTTGTATTTCACAAATGTATAATTAAATTCAGAATGAAAATGAGAACATTATTAATTTATTTATCAATAAATTTTATCGGATGAAAAATATTTCATTTGGTAAACTACGTACTCCCTCCGTATCTAATTTGTTGTCCCACTTTCCTTTTTGGGTGCATCAAATTAATTGTCTCATTTCCTTATTTGAAAAGAAATCCACTCAAATGATAAATATTTCATTTGGTAAACTAAGTACTCCCTCCGTATCTAATTTGTTGTCCCACTTTCCTTTTTGGGTGTATCAAATTAATTGTCTCATTTCCTTATTTGAAAAGAAATCCACTCAAAAAACAGGTACAATATTGGCACAGTACCAAACAACACTTACTTTTTATAAAATCTACAGTAATTATCGGGACAACTAATTAGATACGGGGGATTATATAGCACTATTTAAATTATCCTAGTACATTACGACATCAAATTCTTCAATAGTTATCATTTTCACATAGACCAATGGATTATACTTGAGATACATCAAATCAGTTTTAATTATCCGTATGATAGAAATTTTCAAAAATATTATTGGGGGCATGAGAAACATATTATTGGGGGCAAATTATTTTTAATAAAAAAATACTCCCTAAAATCCTATAATATTAATGCATTAAAAGAATCTTATTGGGGGCATGTGCCCCCACTATAGACAACATAGATCCGCCCCTGTTAGCCACTGTAGCTTGAATAGCACCGACAATACATCAACATCTCTTGCTCCAACGATATTGGCATCATCTCCCAGAATGGTCCGCCTGTTTCAGTGGGATGTCCGCCAGGGAGTTTGCTGGTGCCAAAATTCAAGCTTAACCCTATGAATTACAACAAAAATAAAAGTGAAAGCAAAATGCTGAAAATCTCAACCATGTATCTGCAAATCATAGACTAGTGAGGCAGTCAGGACGCGATTCAGCGAGCAGCGGAGCAGCCAAGTAAGCAGGGCGGAGCCGCGGAGGCCAGAGGGCGCAGCCAGCATAAGGCAGAAGGGGAACAACCACACACATCTCAGACCTTAATTTTCTGATCAAGTGCTTCACTTTTCATCGAGACTATGAGGATGGAAGGAGGACTGATGTGCGATACTGTCAGGGATCGATGATATCTGGCCTTTGGGTTGGGGCTTTGATTTAGGTTATTTTTGAAATAAAAAAGTAAAATTGAAAAGATGAAAGTTATTATTGAAAAGTAAATCATACGTAGACATGAAAGAAATACAATTAGAAAAAGTGGACTGGGCGGGATATTTCCACGTATTTATTTTTATTGGGGTAATTATTATATTGACTCCAATTTTTCCTATTAGTATAATACAAGGATTATTGAGAGTTTATTGGGGTGAGCTGCCCCATAGTGAAGCTATGCATCCGCCCTGCTTATATCTATATATCTAAATCCATCAAAATCTATAAAATTCCAAAAAAAGAATTCCATAACATTCCATAAAATTCATAGAATTCTACTCTCTTGAAATATGTGGATTCTTTGTAATTTCATTAAAATCCTATGAAATCTTAATAATCCTTTAAAATCTTTCACAATCAAAGTTGGGAACACCCCTTAAAAAGAATAATTCTGGAACTGACATGTGGTAAGACTTTCTTTAATCGTATCCTTGAAATGTATTATTTATAGACTTGAAATTTATTATTTATACTCCCTCCGTTTCTAAAAGAAACTCACACTTTCTTTTTGAGATGTTTCAAAAACAAAGTCACACTTCCCTTATTTCCTTATTTGGCAAAGAAATCTACATCCAAACAGTGCGAAACAGTGCCAAACAGTGTCCAAACAGTGCCAAACAGTGTCTAAACAGTGTTTTCTACAGTAAAGTCAATTTATTTTCTTAATAATCGTGAAGTCAAACCGTAACTTTCTTTTGGAAACGGAGGGAGTATATATTAAGAAGTGAGAAAATAAAAAGGTATCCTTCCGTCCCTGAAAATTCTTCTCACTTTCCTTTTTGGGCCGTTCCAAAAAATTCTTCTCACTTACCATTTTTGGACAATTTGTGTGGTTCACATTCATTTCACCTTTTTCTTACATAACCACAACCATACATTTCCACTTTATTTCACTTTCTTAATATTCGTGCCAATTCAATCTGTCAACGACTTTTAGGGACTGAGGTAGTAATACTTTTGGAATATAAAAGTGTAGGAGCAATGTAAAGGTCATTTTTTCCTTTCTTTTCCTTGTAATTATCCGGATCCAATTATCCAAACATTTCCAAAATTTTTGAAGAAAATCCATTTTCCATCTTTTTAATTGATCACATTGCCTCTGACCCGCTAGGCGCCAGGTATTCATTCAGACCTGAAAATCCAGGAAGAATTCGGATCACAACAACTCACAGGAATGGGCCAAAACACAGGCACCAAAGGTAAGCGTAAGAGGGAAGAGGTTGTCAAAGAGGAGGAAAAAGAAAAAGAAGAAGTTCAAGAGGAGCAGGATGTCTTGTCCGTCCATTCCCCTTGCAAATCTCTACCTTCATCTCTCTCCAAGGTCGTTCTCTATATGAATTACTCTTTATGTGTGCATATGTTAAATCCTTATGGGCATGTAATTGAGTGTTTATATTCGAGCTTTTCTTGAATTCATTTCTTGATTCTTTGGCTTTATGAATTGCAGGAGCAGCTGGAAGTGGAACTGGAGCTGAGGGTGTTAGAAGCTCTTGAAATTTATCATCCTGCGAAATTACAAGGCACGTTTTATACTTCATTAAATTATGTGCTCTGATTTCCCCAATTATTATTAAATTTTGAAATATTTTCTCCCATATCTTAGTAATCAGTTAACAAAATTGGGATGGGTTTTTCCCTAGGGAACCAAAGGAAAAACACACAAGGGCTAATTACTACAAAATTCCTTTTTTTTGTGAGATTTAAAATGTGGTCAATTATGTAAATACTTGAGCAAGGTTTGGTTGGGTTTGAAGACACATACTAGCCCTCAAATGGCAGTACCGTTACAGTTTACACATGTTTGCCAAATCAAATACTTCAAGTATATGATACAATTTGCCTTAATTTGGCTAGAATTGTTATCGAAGTGACATTCATGGCAAACTTGACAATTTTTAAAGAATTGGATACATTTAAAAATCTGCTAAAAGGATTGTTTTTTCTATTAGTAAAGCGTAGACAGAAATATGAATTTATAGTGGGAGTCTACTCTTATGTGCAATAGAATTATTGGGAGATTAGTTTCTTTTCAAATGAAATTCTATCCTAAAGTCTAACCGACTAACCTTCTAAGTTCTAACATAAGGATGATTGCATGTTAACGTTTGGTCATATGGTATGCCATAATCGAATGTATTAATACATAGTCAATTATATATTTTGTGTAAATTTACATTTCACATGTACTCCCTCCTTCCCTTACACTTTGCTAACTTTTCTTTTTTGGTTGTCCCACTAAAGTAAAGAATTTGTGGTTTCAATTAATTTTTTCTCCTATGCACAAACCTCAACCACACAGTTTTTACTTTATTAATCCACATGTCGATCAAACATGGCCAAGTTTTAAGGGACAAAGGGAGTATTTTATAATCACATTACTTAATGTCTTACCATATGTTACCGTAGGGCTTGTTTGGTTTGGTGGTTTCAGAGGAGAGGGGCGATATTTATTTCTAAACTATTCCCACATGTAGATGGTTGGCAGTAAAGTGAAGTTAAAAAACAATATAGAAAAATAGGATCTAACTGATCATATAGTTGTTCTAGTCTAAAAAAATAAATAGAGATGAATTAGTAAAATAAAAATCAATCTACCCCTTCCCTACGCTCCGAAGTCCATCAAACAAACAAGTCTTTATAGTTTGTTTCCCTCTGAAGTCCCTGAACCACACAAGTCTTTAGATTTTTTCCACAAGAAACAAACCACGTGACAAAATTGTTTCTCTATTTCTTATGTGACCCTAGTTTTCCAAGAAACCTACAGGCTACGGCTGATTTCTTTTCACTCTAGTAATTGTGAAGCTCTGTAGGTGTTTCTTAATAACTTAGTTGATGTAATTACTAAATGTCGTAATTGGCCTTATACTTATGGAGCTTCTCCAAATTTTTCTCCATAAATTCATATTTTCTTTCTTTCCATCATTTGCAATGGAGCCAAAGATTCAATATTTTTTGGCTTGAGAATATGATGGAATAAAGCAAAACGGTTCACTAAACTGTCTGCGCTTCTTTATTGTGAAGCAACAGTCAGTCTATGTATTCTTTGACGCGATTTTCACTATGGGTCATTCGGAAACAGTCTCTCTGTGCTTTAGTACAGGGGTAAGACTGCGTACATCCGACCCCCCTTACCCCACTGTAGGTGGGAGCCTTTGCGGCACTGGGGTAATGATGATGATGATGATGATGATGATGATGAAATTCATACTCCCTCCGTCCCTTAAAACTTTGTCATCTTTCCTATTTGGGACGTCCCAAAAAACTTTTCCACTTTCCATTTTAATCAATTATTTTGTGGTTTCTGTTATTTCTCTCTCCTCTGCACAAACCTCAACCACACAGTTGTTACTTTATTATTCTCCGTGCCGGTCAACTTTGACAAAGTTTTAAGGGACAGAGGTAGTATTTTCTTTCTTGTGTTGGGATGCTGAGTTGGACTTGATGTTTCTTGCAGGAATCCATCGTCACTTTGTCCTTTATGGCTTAACAGAATATCTGAGGAGAAGGTTTGCTTCATTGTTCTTTCTGTCTACATATTAGTGAACAAAACAAGAAACAAAAAGGCATATTAGTGAAGACAGTCGTGGTGAATTGGCTGTTAAAAAGGCATATTTAATCATATCCTAATTCCTAAGTATAAAGTATTCATACAGATGAAATGTTCTTGCAGTTTTAATAAGCACTTCAGTGCTGATGAAGTTCTGAAGCTGTTGGATCGCTTCTACAACTTGGAAATGCTGGTTAGTAAAACGATACATATTCGGTGAATAACTGAACCCTGAACCAAATGAATAACTTGCTTCTACAACTTGTCATTTTAGGAGGCAGATGATGATGTAGAAATTCTGAACCAGGAGGAAGATTTTTGTCTGCCACCGAGTTTTTTCTCTAAGGAAGAATCTTAACTGACCAAAGGCGAAGAACTGAATAATGGTAGGTCTGAAGTCCAAGTGAATAGTAGCAGGACCAAGTTTTTTATCTTTTGTTCTCCAGTAAGGTTATCAACATATCATACTGTGTAGATAAGTTGAAGTATGGATTTGCAGAGACCCTACCAGTGTTAATTTTTGCTGTAGTTCTTATTAATATGGCTTTGTTTTGAAGCCATGCTCTGTCTCAAAAAGAACAGAATTAAGTTACCTTTAGATTCCTCTGATCTGCTCTTTTTGTTTTTCTCTAATATGGCCTAATGGATTGATTTTCTATAGATACCAAACTAATCAACATATTTTTAACATATTTTTATAACACATGCATACAGCCACAATAATCAAAATAAAAAAATGCTCTCAGACACCAACTTCTTTTGAATTTGAATTTGAATATGTTGGCTTGCACAAACTTGCACCAAATGTGCAAAATATAGCTATCTCATAAAGTTTGGATACTGATTTTGATATAAGTATAATACGGAGCGTTATGAAAGTTATAAATTTTATAATTTTATCAAAATACTTTTAACAAAGAACATTTTTATATTATTTCTACATTATACGTAAATAATTTCAACGGGAACAAAACGCAAGATATCGGCGATTTGTCCATACCAGATTGTATGGTAAACCGTGATTTTGTGAGAAGGATCCAAACAACGGAAGTTAAAGAAGCTCTGAGGAAGATGGGACGGAAAAGAGCAATGGGGCTAGATGGCATACCGATCGAGGCTTGGAGAAGTTTGGGAGAGAGAGGCGTCGAGTGGTTAACAAGTTTCTTCAACATGATTTGGAGAAACAACAAGATGCCAACGAGTTGGAGGAAGAGTACTCTTATCCCCTTATTTAAGAATAAAGGTGATGTACAAGAATGTGCCAACTATCGAGGGATTAAGCTTATGAGTCACACCATGAAACTTTGGGAGCGAGTGATTGAGCAAAGACTTCGAAGGACTGTGAAGATTTCAGAAAATCAATTCGGTTTTATGCCTGGTCGCTCAACAACTGAGGCCATTCACCTTCTTCGACAACTTATGGAGAAGTATAGAGATGCTCATAAGGATCTGCATTTAGTGTTCATTGACTTAGAAAAGGCATATGATAGGGTACCTCGAGAAGTTCTTTGGTGGGCCTTAACTAGGAAAGGCATATCACGCAAGTATATCAGCATCATCATGGATATGTATGAGGATTGTACTACAAGTGTTCGTACTAGTGTAGGGAGGACTGAAGAGTTCCCTATTACTATCGGAGTGCACCAAGGATCGGCCTTGAGTCCTTTCTTATTTGCCATAGTCATGGATGAACTTACGAAGTCAATTCAAGACGATATACCGTGGTGCATGATGTTTGCCGACGATATTGTATTGATTGATGAGACGCAATCAGGTCTTAAAGCAAAGTTGGAAGTATGGCGACAAACATTGGAGAATAAGGGTTTCAAACTAAGTCGGAGCAAGACAGAGTACATGGAGTGCAAGTTTGGTGGAGGTAGAAGTAGTGGTAATAGCGGAATTACTCTGGATGGTAAGGAGATACCGGTCAGCGATATGTTCCGTTACTTGGGCTCCATAATTCAGAAGGACGGTGAGTTAGATGGAGATGTATCCCATAGAATCAGAACAGGGTGGATGAAGTGGAAGAGTGCGTCAGGATTTCTATGCGACCGAGGTATGCCGACTAGACTGAAGGGTAAATTTTATAGGACAGCAATTAGGCCTGCATTACTGTATGGCGTAGAGTGTTGGGCGGTGAAACAATGTCACATTCATAAGATGAGTGTGACAGAGATGCGCATGCTGCGTTGGATGTGTGGGCATACTAGGAAGGACCGCGTGAGGAATGAGACAATCAGACAAAGGGTGGGAGTAGCACCTATTGAAGACAAGATGCGGGAGTCGCGTCTACGGTGGTTTGGTCATGTGCGTAGAAGACCGAGTGATGCACCTGTTAGGCGAGTTGAGATGTGTGGACAAGAGGCAGGGAAGAGAGGGAGAGGAAGACCCAAACAGACGTGGGTTAGGGGAGTTCGAAGTGATATGCTTTTTCTGGGGTTGGATGAGGGCATGACTTTGGAGAGAACTAAGTGGAGGGCGGGTATTCACGTGAAGGAGTGATCTTGATAATTTTTTTCCCTCATCTTTTTTTTTCGTAGTTTTTTTTATCCTTATATATATATATATATTTATAAGCATTATTTGCAACCTTTTTATTTTATCATTTATATATATATTCATCTTTTTTATATTATCTTTTCATAATAGCTTATCTTTTTATCTTTATTCCTTCTTTTCCTTTTGGTTGTGATATCATGTATCGATTCATGTTAGCCGACCCCAATATCTTTTGGGACTAAGGCTTGGATGTTGTTGTTGTATACGTAAATAATTTTAATAAAAATATATAGTTGTATATTATTAATATATTTACTGATAGTTGTATAATACGTAATACTAGTATATAAATGAGCATTCATATATCTCTTATAATACTGGTTTAGTAATTAGCCCTTGTATTTTTTTTCTTTAGACATATGGGTATCTCATGGATCAACACCATTCTAAATGGAGTGTACTAATATATTTTGATAAGGTAACTGTATTAATTTTGCACATACCAAAATATGTCAGTGCGATAAAATTTTCAACGTGACGTATCCAATATACAGTGCGATATACAGTGCGACAAATTTATCCAATATACAGTGCGATATACGTATCCAAAATTTTCAACGTGACGTATCCAATACTATTGACTATACCTCTTTTTAAATATACAGTACTATTCTTTTGATAAATAAGATTTATTAAGTTTTTCTCCAGAATAATGGTAATTAAATAAATAATTTTCAAAATATTGCTGAGTTAAAAATAATTCTCAAAATACTGTTGGGTTAACTGTGGTTAAGGAAAGCCGCCACTTCAAGTGGCGGGCGGCTATTCTCTTACAATACAAAAGCCGCCACTCCATGTAGCAGCTCTTCTCTTACAACACATTTTGTACATATATAAAGCCTAGTGATGGATTATAGGGATCCAAACATATAATTAAATGGAGAGATTGAGCTATAGAGAGGAAGAAGATGATGAATAGTGATATTGCTTGTGTAATAATCATTCTAGGAGTTAGGAATTGTGTTCTAGGGTTTACAAGCTCCAAAAAGAGTATATATAGAGAAATCTGGGTTTGGGCCTCTAATATGGGTTTGACAAATCCGGTTACATAAAAGAACTCATAACATAAAGGCTAATCTAGAACATCTAAATAATAATGTACAATAATATGAATGACATCCGATAAGCGTGTGTAGGCCGCTGTCCGGGCCCAATAGTCGTGAGACCCGGGGGTCCGAGTCTATATACTCTATCAGAAGTCCCCCACTCTCTGAGTCGAGAATACTTTAGGTGAAAGGGAGTAGAACTGTGTGCTGATCTATCGTCTGATGAGTAAACTTCGTGAAAAATTTTGAATTTCTGCTTCTTTGGTTAACGGAGGCGCTAAGTCCCCCGCTCTTCCAGTCCCCCACTCCTTGAGGTGAATGTAGTGAGGTGAAGAGGAGTAGAGTAGTGCATGTCTCGTGATGCCTCGTTGGGGAGATGCCTCGTTAAAAACCTCATTAGGAAAAAACCCAGTGGGAAAAAATCCTAATGAGGGAAAAGGGGTACACCTGATGCCCCCAAAATGAAGCAGAAGGGGGAGCCCTTCGGCCTAAGTGTGGAGCTGCAACGGTGTCCGTCTGCTGAGGGGATGGCCGAGACCAGTCTCTAGATGTGAGTAGCTCAGCATGATAATTAGTTCCAATCATCAAATAAAGATGACTAAGAGATAGATCGAGTGACCGTCCATAATATGATGTCCATGTCATCAAATAAAGTGACCGAGACATGTGGCCGAGAGGCCTATAAGAAGTCCAAGCCATCAAATAAAGATGACCAGGAGAGACGGCCAAGTGGCTGGTATGATGAGCTCCACGTCATCAAATAAAGACGACGGGGTGATGCATGGCCGAGGGGCCTGGATGAGAGCTCCACGTCATCAAATAAAGATGACAGGGCGATGTATGGCCGGGATGCCTATATGAGAGCTCCACGTCAACAAATAAAGATGACGGGGCGATGTATGGCCAAGAGGCCTATATGAGAGCTCCATGTCATCAAATAAAGAAGACAGGGCGATGTATGGCCGAGGGGCCTATATGAGAGCCCCACGTCATCAAATAAAGATGACGAGGCGATGTATGGCCGAGGGGCCTGTATGAGAGTTCCACGTCATCAAATAAAGATGACGGGGCAATGTATGACCGATGAGCCCGTAAATGAGCTTCACGTCACCAAATAAAGATGATGGAGCGATATATGGCCGATGGGCCTCAAAATGAGCTTCGCGTCATCAAATAAAGATGGTGGAGCGATAAATGGACGATGGGCCCGTAAATGAGCTTCGCATCATCAAATAAAGATGACAGAGCAATATGTGGCCGATGGGCCCGTAAATGAGCTTCACGTCATCAAATAAAGATGACGGAGCGATATGTGGTCGATGGGCCTACAAATGAACTTCTGGTCATCAAATAAAGATGATGGGGCGGTATATGGCCGATTGGGCCTGTAAATGAGCTTCACGTCATCAAATAAAGATGACAGAGCGATATATGGCTGATCGGGCCTGTAGCTGAACTATGGGCTCCTTTAGCCTTTCAGCCGGAGACCGCAAGATGTTCGCTATATCTGAATATGAGGATAAGGCGGTGTACACCTGTCTGAATATGAGGACGACGGCGCTGAGGAGCCGGTCTGAATATGAGGACGACGACGCTGATGAGCCGGTCTGAATTTGAGGACGAGGCGATGATAAGCCATTCATCATACAGGGGCGACGGTCGCTATCTGGGAAGGGAGTAACGAGCCTGGTCGCTATAACAAGACTTCGGCGCTGGGAGCCGGTCCTGAGGTAGATAATCACGCCGAGGCCGAGAGGTCGATCGTGATGTGCAGATGGCGATGATGAAGAGCTGGTCCGATAATATGATGATGGGGCGATGATGAGTCGACCGTCATATAGATGCGATGGTCACCATCCATGAAGGGGTGGCGAGCCCAATCTCTATAACAAGACTTTAGCGTTGGGAGCCGGTCTTGAGATAAATAATGACGTCAAGGCCTAGAGGCCGATCGTGATGTGCGGACGGCGATGATGAGGAGCCGGTCCGATAATATGATGATGAGGCGATGATGGGTCGATCGTCATATGAAG